ACTAAAATACTGTCAATTTCAAGTAGGGCTGCGGAAATTAACGATTAATTACCCAATTAATCGTTAAAAGTTTTGATCGGTTAAAATTATTTTGATCAATGATGAAAACACTCTCCGCCGGCTTCTGTGAGTTCCGTCGGACATCCGGTGGCGTCACGGACATCGACGTCACCGGACTCCTCCCCCTTCCCCAAGTGGCTCCGTCGGCTAACAAAGGGAAGGGGGGAGGAGTCCGGTGACGTCGATTTCCGTGATGTCACCGGACACCTTCCCTTCGTAAGCCGACAGAACCACTTGGGCCGCTGTTAGATCGAAAGTTCCAACTTATCGAGTTTTCGGACTGCCTGACTTCCAGTTTACTTGGAACTAAGAGGTTTGCCCAAGAAAGTTATTCTGCACGAGCGCCAGCCAAGGCATTGCCCTATACACATACACCACAACAATGAAGTATTAAAATGAGCTATGATCACAGTACTCCAGCATGTTATTAATATGAGTTGCCCCACTCAAGCGGCGACCATTTTGAGTGGGGCACGTGAGATTACCGTGCTGAATTAGTGTGTTCGTAGTTTATTTTATTACTTCATAGCTGAGCTGTATGTGTATGTGCCAATGTAGTTGGATCTGTATGTGCGTTATAATTAATCGATTAAATTTTTTTTTCGATTAATCGAACACGAAAATTGTAATCACTAACAGCCCTAATTTCAAGCTATCAAAATGACAACCAGGACTTGCAGCAGGAGCAGCTGTCAAAATACAGCTTTCTGTAGCATGTATTCATTGCAATGTATGGGCAGAAAATGCTGTACTTGGGTGTATGCACACAAATTCCAGCATTGAGTATGTTTCCAAATGTGAAACTGTACCTTGCTAAGTAAATACAATTTAATAATGATTACATTGTATCTATTAGGGATTGACCTTTGATCTGCATTACAATAATTATAGCAACCAAGCTAAAAATAAAAAAAAACTTTTTTATTTAATAAAATGTATTCTATTGCACCCTTTATTAACCCTAATTACCTATAATCAGCCCTAATTTACTCCTTCCTTCACTTCTCCCCTCAGCTATACATTTTCTGATTTATTTTTATTTTTTTTTACTTTGTTAATGTTGCATAAAATGTAATTGCAAACATTTTTTTTACAAATAACTTTAACCTTATAAGGACCATTTCACTGCCAGGTCCTTTTTCTTAGTTTTTTTGCACACATGATATAATCCACATTTTAAGCCTGAAAATTACTTCAAACCCCGAAAACATTATATATTTTCTGAAAACCAACACCCTGTGGAATAAAATAGTGGCAGTTGCAAATTTTTATGTTGCACAATATTGGGGCAACTCTTTATCAAACCCCAAAATTTAGTGAAAAATGCACTTAAGTTAATTTTAGTGCCCCAAAACACAATAAAATACCCTTATTTTGTAAAATATAAAAGATGAGGTTACGGCGAGTAACTAGTAACGGCGAGTAACTAGATACCCAACATGCCCAAGTTAAAAATTGCGTGTGTCCGTGAAAACGGTAATACATTTCAGTACCCCAAAAAGTCCATAGAAGACGCTTTAAAAGCCCCTACAGGTCATCAGTTTAGAGATACGCATAAATGCCCCTAGAATAAAACATGTGTAGTGCAATTGACATTTCCGTACGTAAAAACACCCACGTGTTTGAATGAATGCTTGTGCGGGGCAGTGGACTTTAAAAAATGTGTTTATTATTTTTACATATATTAAAAAATTGCTAGGACATAGGGGAACTTTACCATGCCGATAGAAGTGATCTGGTGGTAGCCGCCAGAATCGTTTCTTTTGTAATGCCAGTGGCCAGCACAAATGTAAACAGAGTCGCTGGGAGTCTGTTTACAGGGCCGTACTATGTACATCTGTGGTTGCGATGGAGTTAATTATTTATTAAGAGTATTGGTATTTTATTGGGTATAACCATTGATTGGGCAGGTTCTGACCACCATTGTGTTAACTGTGCTGGCAGCATTGTTCCTCCATTGCCCTCTCCAAAGGCACAACATTTATACTCGGCAGAGCCAATCGCCCAGCTTTATAAAGCATTCTGCTGACACTTTAGCCTGGGGGTATACAGATCATTTCTGCATGCGCAGCCTCAGCCATCTTTAGTGAGGAACAGTCAGGAATAGGCATTTGACAGAATCTAAATCTCCACCCTTAGGTTGTTAAAACAGTGCATCTTTACCTCTTGTGGAGTTTGGTGTATTTTGATTTAGTTGCATTTTTTGCCTGCCAGAGCAGGAATGACAGCTTCAGGGCCTCCATTTGGAGGCTTTCCTCTCTGATAAGGGACATTCTCTTTGGGTTGCTGAAGGAATAAACTGGCAGTTAGCAAAGCCTTCTGTTTTTTGAGTGCTTGTTATTAACACAGAGTTAGCTGAGATAGGACATCTTTATTTGCCATGGTTCCCTACTAGAATTACCTCCCTGTGATGTACAGTCCAGCTGTTTGAATTTTTTTTGTCTTACCTGTAAAATCTGTTTTTTGGAGTACATCCCAGAACCCTTCCCTTTTTGTTTTGTGTGATTTCACACTGTACTGCTTGCTACAAAATGAACACATGCTAGGAGTGGGAGGGGTTATACAAGGCTGCCCTTACAGCTTTGATTTACCAGTTCCCAAGGTAGCTGGCTGCATAATCCATGTACTCCAAAATGACACAAGGATTCATGTCAAAAATACATATGCTGGTTTGATTTTTTTTTTTTTATTGCTTATCCTGGAGTTTACCTTCAAGTAATGTGGGATATATACAATCAATGGCATTGAGGAATATGTGGTTATTGTTGTTTTTAAGCTAATAGTGCAATTGTATTACAAAGAACAATAACTTTGTGTTGCTCTCTAAATAGATGTAACTTGGCTATACATGTTACTCATCAAATAGATCACACTTGTACTCTGATGAAAATCTTTACTTGCAATGCCACAAAGTAAAATGAATGTGTTACTTTGGAATTAATACATGGTATGATTAAATTAATCTTTTTCTTTTTATTTAGAGCATGCTTGGAAGAGGCGGTTAGGATCTCTGCGCCCTTCATGTCCAATCACTGTGTAGGTAATGGTGGATGAGCATCAGAACTAGTTTTACTGAGGCTGTGCAAAGATGATCACGGAAGAAGACCAGAAAAAACAATGATGGATTCAGGACTTCACAGGATTCTTATTGGAGCACACTCCCATCCTTAAAATGAAGTGCTTTGATTTCCAAATTGATGTTTTGTATGCTTTTCTTATATACAGATATTAGTGTTTTCTGTATGTTCCTTGCCTGATAGACTACCTACCCCTCACTCTACACACATTACACACAACCTTTTGGTTTGGCATAATGAAAACCTGTTAATTTGCCTCTTAAAATTATGTTGATGATGTCTCTTATTTACACATTTGCAGCCATTCTGTTATATTCTATTGTATTGGACACTTTAATATCAATACCTGAGTTGTAAACTCCTATATGATGCCTGGGTTCCTAATAAATATATATTTTCTGAATGACATTCTGTTTTCATTGGTTTTATATTTTAGTTCCATTTGTTCCTGTAAAATAAATAATTGAGTGAATGGTTTCTTCATTTGTCAGATGACGCAAGGTATATTTGCCTTAAAATGTATCTAATCCCCCCACAAAAACATTTAATATATTGCTTCCCAACTATTCTTAGATGAGGTGGCTGCATTCATTTTCTCTTTCTAGTGTCGCAGTGCTCGCTTATTGCACTGTATCCTTGGAAACCACCCTAAGACAAAACTTATTTCAAGAGAGCAAGTAAAAGAAGTTAATTGTTAGAATTTCCATGCAACTTAAATCACTACGTATGCGTTCTGAGAAAGATGCAATTGATCCAAGTATAACTAGAAGGAAACATGTATTTAGTAGGGATGCACTAGTAGGGATGTTCTAGTACTCCTGAAAATGCCCCAATACTAAAAGCCGATATCGGCACTTTACATTTTTAAATGGATTCGGCTGCTGTAAGGTCCTGCTCTTGTTGGGGACCTTGCGGCGCCTGTATACAGCGCCAGCCCGCACATCTTCCACCTCTTGAGACAAACACTGGCATTGACTGCGGGACCAGCCAGGAGAGGCACTCAGACAGCGGCACCATGCAGGCAGATAGGAAGGTAAAACGAGGGGCGGCGGAGATAGAACACAGATCAAGGGGTGCAAAGATAGCGGGGCACAGATCGGGGTGTTCAGAGATGGCAGGGGCACAGATCAGGGGGTGCAAAGATTGCGGGGGTGCAGAGATGGGCGGGCTACCGGGTACAGCAGTTCTGCTCCTGAGATCTGAAGGGAATTCCTCCTCATCCCAACTATGGTACGTTATCTGACTGTAGAGCATTCCTCCATCCCGGCCATGGTACCATGTTATCTGACTGCAGAGATTTGTAGTCTTCTATATCTGACAGTATTATTCTCCTTGGCTGTATAATGTATCGCTGGGACTTGTAGCCCTCTATAGCTGGTGATATTCTCCATGGCTATATAATGTATTGCTGGGATTTGTAGTCCTTCTGCAGCTTGGAGTCAGTGAGACAACTACCAGGGGCGCAGCATTTGCAGCTGGGATTGGGCCCTGGCACTCCACCACTGTTTAAATGTTTAAATCATTAGTTTGTATTGCTTTAGAAAAACTGTCACATGACACAGCATCAGGAATTGGTATTGGCGAGTACTTGAGGAAAAGTATCGGTACTTAGTCTGGAAAAAATGGTATTGGTGCATTCCTAGTATTTAGGTAGTTTGTCTAAGGAACACCCTGATGTCTTCATATAGAGTACCGGTCACTCACCATGTGCTCTTAAATTAGAGGGCTTTTCAGCCCCCTTGTGATAGCAAAATAAATAAAGAATGTATTTAGACATAATGAATGAAAAAAAGTAAAGACCTCTCTGAACCTGCACATTTGTGTACCTAGAATGCACATTTGTATATAAATACGTATGTTAAACAATTACTAAAGCTGACGTCCAAGCAGATATAAAAGGCACACGCAAATGCAGATCTTTAATCAATACATCATTACATTTATTTTTTAAAAGCAGAAAATCTTGGAGTAGGACTTGGTATCAGCCACCATTAGATCCAACGTCACTTTATTTGTGTATGCTTGTTTTGGGTCAGTGACTAAACACAAAGACAACCAGGCAACTAGCATTTTCAAGAGATCATCAGTCATGGCAGTATTCATACTGTATGTCATGTCATATTTTCTTTAAAACAAGGTATTTTTGTTCATGTACCTTCTGTTTGTTTCCTTTATCCTGCATTGGCCAAACCTTTGGGATAAGGACAGCTAAGCTTTATTGCCTGTCTGGTTATTTTATTGCCCTTCTCAATGGTCATTTCTAGCTCTTTTATTATATTTGTGGTTCTTGCTTGCTTAAATTCTGTTATCTTTTCCACAAAATCAATAACTGTCCCTTGGATGTTTTATTGATGGTATTAAGGTAAATGATCCAAAAACTGAGTGATGTCCTTTGCAATTCTGTGCCCTCTACAAAAAAGAACTTTCTCTAGATCCATAACATCTTTTTTTTCTGAACTGGTGATCAAAACATTCCAGATGAGGTCTTACTAATGCTTTGTACAGGGACAGGATTATGACTCTCTTTCTGGAGTCTATACCTCATTTAATACAAGAAAGTATTTTGCTTGCTTTAGAAACTGCAGCTTGACATTGCATGCTATTATTGAGTCTAGGATCTTACAGAACACCCAGATCCTTCTCAGTCATTGGTCCCCCCCTTCCCCATTTGTACTCCATCTAGGGTATATGACAAATTCATGTTTTTAGTCCCCAAGTAGATACCTGTGGAAGCCTTCAAAACATTCCTGTCATTTTGGAGACTGGTGTAGGTATGTGCAGGCACTTCATACCTGCAGCAGTTTCCCCCCGACAAATTCTTTGAGGAGTGACGAATTGCAGCGGAAATGGACAGGAAGTGTTAGAGTGATTTAACCTAACGTAGGCCCCAATAACCGTAAAAACATGACCAAAGCTTTCACTGGACATATACTTTAAAGCAGATAGAAAAGACAGATTAAAGTGATATTAAAGTCAAAATGTTCAGGGAAGTGGAGCTGAGAGAGTTGGAGCCAACTGATCTGAAATATGGCTGTAAGTGTTTGGGCAAATGGTTATTATACATGATTTATATAGCGTCAACAGTTTGCACAGCACTTTACAATATATAGTTACAATACAAATCAAGACAAGATGGTAAGGAGGACCCTGTCCATGAGAGCTTGCAATCTAAAAGGGAGGGGCAAGTGATACAAGAGGTGGTAGCTGTGGGAATGATTTGTTTGAGAAAGTGATAGTACAGTGGTTAGGTTGAGACGGGATAGGCTTCCCTGAAGAGATGAGTCTTTAGGGATCGCCTAATGGCAGACAGAGTAGGAGATAGACGGACACAGTGGAGTAAGGAGGTCGAAAGGATGGGAGCGACTCTAGAGAAGTCCTGGAGGTGAGCATGGGAGGAGTTGATGAGGGAGCTAGAGAGCAGGAGGTCTTGGGAGGAGTTGAGGGCACAGTTCGGGTAATACTTTGAGACGAGGATGGCTTTGTAAGTGGTTATTAATATTTTTAATTCTATCCTTTGGGGCGATTGGAAGCCAGTGGAGGGATTGGCAGAGAGTGGTTGCAGACACTGAGCGGCTGGTTAGGTGGATGAGTCTAGCAGCAGCATTCATGATTGACTGAAGAAGGGATAGCCTGTGTAGAGGTAGGCCAATTAAATTTCATTGGTTAGGAAGGGGCATATTTTGGAGATGTTACAAAGTTGAAGGCGGTAGGATTTGGATGTGGGGCAGAAAGGTGAGGTCGGGGTCAAGGATCTCACTTAGCATTTTGGCATAGGGGGAGGGAGAAATAGTTGTGTTATCAATCTCAGTGGAAAAATTGGGGGAAGTTGCATGAGGTGGAGTAAACATGATGAGCTCCGTTTTTGAAAGATTGAATTTGAAGATATGTGACATCCAGATTGATATGACAGTTAGAAGATTAGTGACACAAGGACACCGAGGTGGTAAGTTGTGGAATGGCGAGATATATTTGAGTGTCATTGGCCATGCAAAGGTTATCATCTGACCAAGGAAGGAGGTGTTGATAGAGAAGAGAATGGGTCCAAGGATAGAGCCTTGGGGGACCCCTATGGAAAGAGGAGGGGAGAAGTTAGATTTGTAGGTGACACTAATGGAGCGCTTAGATAGGTAGCACAGCCAAGAGGGAGCAGGGTCTTGGAGGCCGAGTGAGTGGAGTTTTTTTTAAGGCGCAGGGGGTGGCCAACTGTGTCAAAAGCAGCAGAACGGTCTAATAGCAAGAGTAAGGAGTAGTGGCCATTGTTTTTAGCAGTTAGTAAGTCATTAGTAAGTTTTAGGAGGGCAGTTTCAGTGGATTCTTGGGGGGTGAAAGCCGGACTGTAAGGGATCGAGAAGGTTATCAGTGAGGTGTCTGCTCAGGCGGTTGTAGATTTGGTGTTCTAGGAGTTTGGAGGTGAATGGGAGTAAGAGATTGGCCTGAGATTGTAAAGGTTGGTGGGATCCAGTGAGGTTTTTTTGGGGTATTGTGGTGACTACTGCATGTTTTGGAGGGGAGGGAACGATTGCAAATGTGAGTAAGCGAGTGTAGGATAGAGCAAGAGGGTGACCAGAGTAGTGGTGGGGAAATAGGGTCCAGGGGGCATAGTAGAGAGTTATAAGTAGAAAAGTGTTGCCAAGGACTGGACGAGAATGTGTTAATGAGAGTGACAACATAAGTCTGTTTGGCAGCACAGAGGGAGGATTTATTTTTTAGAAGGGCAGCTTTATACCGGGTAAAGTCTTGCAGAGATTAAATTGCACGCCACAGTCTCTCAAGAGCGCGGCTATGTCTTTTAAGATTTCTGGTTTCTTCTGTTTGCCATGGTTGTAGTGGATGCGGCTGGTGTCTGTGTGTACTGAGAGGAGCCAAGGTGTCTAGGTAGGATGATAGCAAGCTGTTGAAGACAGAAGTAGCCAGGTCAGGACAGGGGTAAGATTTTGTCATAGAAATAGTAGCGGAGTAGAGAAGAGAAGGGTTGAAGTAGCAAAGGTTTCTCTGGGTAACTGCGTGCTGATTAGGGGAAGTCAGGCTTGGGGAGAAGGTGAGAGTTGAACTGACAAGGTTGTGGTCTGAGAGAGGAAAAGGGGTGTTGGGGAGGTTGCAAGGAGTGCATAGGCAAGAGAACACAAGATCTAGTATGTTGGCATCAGAGAGAGTAGGAGTGTGTGCCCATTGTGTTAGGTCAAAAGAAGAGGTTAGGTTGAGAAGCTGAGTGGAAGCCGGGATGTTATTGTTACTAGCAATGTTAGTCACCAAGAATGATAGTGGGTATTTCAGAGGAGATAAAGTAGGGTAGCCAGGCAGAGAAGTCATCAAGAAAGTGAGATACCAGTCCAAGAGGCCGATAAATTACAGCAATCCTCAAACTGGAGAAAATAGGCGAATACAGTGGGCTCTGAAAGAGGAGAGG